AACCTGCCCTTGAACACTGCCAGGGATGGGGCAGCCACAGCTTCTCTGGGCACCCTGTGCCAGCGCTTCAGCACCCTCACAGGGAAGAGCTTCTGCCTAAGAGCTCATCTCAGTCTCCCCTCTGTCAGGTTAAAGCCATTCCCCTTGGCCTGTCCCTGCAGGCTGCCCCTCACCGAATCGATGAGCACGCTGGCGCTGGGATCCTGCCGAGCGGAGGCACAGCCCAGCTCCACTCGAATGGTGTAGGAGACTCCCCGCTCCAGGCAGATGGGCTGCGGCAGCACCACGTACCTGAGCAGAGGCAAGGCAGAGCATGGTCAGCTGAGTGCCTGCTATGAGCCCCAACACAGCCCCTTCCCGGCACGGTGCTCACCTGGCACCAGATGGGAGGCTGGTGGAGAGCTGGTCATCAGCCGGGATGGTGTTCCCACAAGGACTGCTGGCGGAGACAGGGCTGGGGCGCAGCACCTTCACCCTCACCTCCTGCCAGGGCTCTGGGTGCTGCAGACAGAGAAAGGGCTGTGCCTAAAGGGCTCACCATCCAGCATGCCCCACCACCAGCTCCCAGTGTGGCGATACACCCCATCACTGGCTTCACTGTCAGGTGCTCACCTGCGGCTCATAGCGGATGATCACGTCATACTCCATGGAGAAGGGCACGTCTCTCACATGGAACTCCAGCCAGCCACCCTCCACCATGCGGGCAAAGCCTGTCCCAGTCCAGGAAGGTGGGCGGTCCGTGGAGGGCTCACGCTCCACCACTGAGCCCTGGTGCAAGGGAGGGTTGTGAGATGGGACCCCAAAACCGCCTTGTCTGTCAGGCCCATAGGGCAGAGTGGTGCCTGCAGCTTAGGAACCCCGCAAAGAGGCACGTGCTGCCCTCATGTACCCCCAAGGACACCTTCATCCCTTACCTGATGGAGCCGAGCATCCTCAGACTCATAGGTATAATGGTCCAAGTTGATGCGGTAGAAGCCAGGCTCCACTTGGTCGCACTGTCGTCCCACCATGTGGCTGCGGCACTGGCACTGTCCCGTCTCCATGGCACACCTGATACCCAGCACCACCATCAGCCCTGATGCCAGCAGCAGTGCCCCATGGCCCCTGTGTCCCCATGAAGACTCACCGGTTGTTGCGGGCACCCCCCACATCACATTCACAGGGCCGGCAACCTGGGGCATCGTGGCTCAGCCCCCAGTGCTCGGGCTGCAGAGGAAAAGGGGGTCAGGGAGTGCATGGCCCCAGGCATCATAGAATCATGGAATCAGCCAGGTTGGAAAAGACCTTTAAGATCATCAGGTCCAACCTTTACCACAGCACTGCCAAGTCCACCACTAAACCATGCCACCATGCATGGCCCCAACCACAGTGCACGGTCCCAAGCATTGTGCATAGCCCCCGAGCACCATACATGCCCCCATGTGCCACACACATCCCCACTCACCAGGCACTGATTGCAGTGGCGCCCAGTCACCAGCCTCTTGCAGAAGCACTCACCACTCACAGGGTCACACTGGCTGCCCTCGGCCACTGTGCCACGGGGGTCACACTGGCACTCTGCATGGAAAGACAGCGGTGTCTGGTGAGGCCACACCGCACACCCAACCCTGCTGGGTGCTGCCCCGGTACCTACGCTGGCAGCCCTGCGGGTTGGTGGCACTGAGGCCGAAGAAGCCGGGTTTGCAGCGGTCGCAGCGGGGACCGGCCACGTGCTCCTTGCAGCGGCACTGCCCTGCGATCAGCCCCCGGGCTGGGTCGTCAGCGCTGTCACACATCCCACCGTCCAGAGAGCCCTCGGGGTCACAGTCACAGGCTGGGGACACAGGCAGGTCAGCATTCCCAGCATCCAGCACACCCCATCCCGTGCCATGCCCCCCCCCCCGGCACCAACCTCGGCACACCGCGGGGTCCCGCAGGTCCTTGCTGGGGTCCTTGTAGTAGAAGGGCTTGCAGAGGTGGCAGCGGCGGCCCATGGTGTTGTGCTGGCAGCCGTCACACACGGCCCCGCTGGTGTTGCCGGTGGCCAGGAAGACGGCCATGTCGAAGTGGCAGCGCCGCGAGTGCTCGTTGCAGTCACATCCTGCAGGGACAGCACCGCGGCACAGCATGTGGTACCCAAACCTGGTCCATAGCACCCCCAGTGCCCAACCTCCCCAGCCCTGACACCCCTTAACCCAGCACCCCAACCTCCCCAAACCACAGCCTGTGGCTCTCCCCATCCAGCACCCCAAATCCCCTCCCCCCAGCACTGTGGCACTCACGGCGGCAGGCATTGGTGCTGGAGCCCTCGGCCGGGCGCCAGGGCAGGTCATGGTAGAAGTCCTCACAGCGCTCACAGTTCAGTCCTTGTGTGTGGTGCTTGCAGACGCAGCGCCCATGGACCTGCCGGATGCCACAGTGAGGGGCTGTGGGACCAGGGAGCACAGCTACCCAGCCCCAGCAGGACACGTGGGGTGCTGTATCACCCTACCATGCCATCGGTGGTGGCGGGGGCCCCGCTGAGTGGGGCACACTCAGAGGCATGCCCGTAGCAGAAGCAGTTCCCGCGCAGCACCAGCTCGTACAGCGCATAATAGTACTTCTCCCGGATCTCCCGCCGCGTGTCCAGCAGGTTGTCCCCCAGCGTGTGCAGCTTGGTGAGGTTCACGCGCAGATTGGTGACGCGCAGCAGGTCTGGAGTGAGGAGAGACCTCCATCAGCACAGGACCATTGAGCTTGTCCATGCTGTTTGTGGTATGGGGAGTCCACACAGGGCTTCCCACCATCGCACTGTGCTGCCTATGGCTGCCTATAGCACAGCTTCTTGGCACTGGGCTGGGCTGTGTGTGATTTGGCTCACAGGCAAGAGGTTGCACGTGGTTGTATGCAGCCTGGTGGTTCAACTCCCCTGCACGTGGTTGTGCACGTCAAGCTGTGCCATGAACCAGGGGTCTGCGCACCCCACCATGCAGGATAGGACCACATCAGTGTGCAACAAGCACCCTGGGCAAGGGCTCCTCACTGATGGGGGCTGTTCCTGGTGCGTGCAGTGTAGGGGCCCCGACGGAATGGGACAGGACAGGACAGGACGGCTCCCACAGGACTGCAGCTTCCCAGCAGCCGAGCCCTGCAGATTCCTCCCCTCTGCTCCCAGCCTAAATTTAGCGCTGCGTGATTAACCCACTGCGTCCTGCACTCAGCTGGCTCCTCTGCCCATCTCCAACCCCATCCCGCACCATGCCGCTGCTCAGTGCTAGCCTCAGCTCCAGCACAGCATCTCCCTGCCCTCACCGGGATGCAGCCCAACCTTTAGCAGCTCCTACAGGATGGGTGCAGGAGGAGGCTGAGACCCTCAAGCTGGATCTGGCCCTGACCCCACTGTGGGGCTCAGAGCCGGGAGACAGCAGCCAAAATAGCTGCACCCAAAATAGAGCAGCCAGGCAGGAGCCCAAGGCGGGCGACTCACTCTGGATGTCAGGGCTGTAGGGGTCCCGGATGGGGATGGAGGGGTCCAGCACCCGGTAGATGACCTGGGGAGGGGGGAAAACAACAGGGTGGTAAGGGCAGAGTAAGGGGGGTCCCCTGGACCCTCCTGGGCTGCTTTCAGGGCCTCACCTCCCCCTCGGTGGAGGGCTCGATGTCGGAGTAGCGGGACTCGCAGACTACGTCGTCGATGCGGCGTGGGGGCCCACGGGGGACGTGGGGGAAGGAGGTGTCACAGTCATAGGCAAAGTATCGATAGACCTTCCAGCTGCGCCCGAAGTCAGCCGAGCGCTCCACCAGCATGGCCGCGGGCCGGAACGTCTGCGGGACACCCAGCATGGATCTGGGTCCATCCCAACCTATCCCATCCCTGGTACCCGCGTGCCAGGACCCACCTTGAAGGTCATGATGAGGTGTGTGAAGTGGAACTCGGCCTCCAGGTCCAGCTGGATGCTGACATGCTCCACGCCTGGGGGATGGCACGTGTGGCTGTGGGGAGCACCCACCCGCGTGGGTCCCCCCCGACCCGGCCACGGTCCAGGGGCGCGTCCGTGTGCGCCGGCTGAGTCACGCTTCCTCAGCGTGGGAGGACGGGAAGCAGAGCCCCCCGGGACGATCCCGCCCGCCACTCACCGTTCTCCGACTGCCACCAGGCTTTCTTGGGCCGGGGGGCGAAGGTGGTGACCACGTTCTCGATGCGGTGGCTGTTGGTGTTGGCACGGGCATCGTAGGGCCGCCGCGAGTCGCAGATGAAGCACTTCTTCTCCTCCTGCGAGCGGGAAGCTTGGTGGCGTGTGTCCCCATCCCCATCCCATGCCCCCCATCCCCTCCCAGTGCCCCCCCAGCCTCCATGGGGCCCCCATCCCTCTCACCTGGAGGTGGCTGACGATGCAGTAGGGCTGTGGCCGCCGCAGCCCGCAGGTGGAGGTGGCGCTCAAGCGGGGAGCTCGCCCCACCAGCAGGTCCCCAGTGGCCGGGTAGCAGCTCCCAAGGGCGCAGACCTGAGGGGGGTCGGGGACCGAGGTCCCCCCAAGCCCTATGGGGCAGCAGCCGGTTAAAGACGCTTGAAGGGGGGCCGGGAGCGGGGCTTGCCCCCAAGCCTCCCGAGGCCCCTTCCGTGGCTGCCCGGAAACAGGACGGCGGGACCGGACCCTGGCTTCCACCGGGCCCCGCTGGAGCGAGAGGGAAGGACGCAGACTCACCGGCCAGCAGCGGCAGCAGCAGGAGGGCACCGGGGTTCCGCATCGCGGGGACGCAACTGGGGCGCAAAGTGCGCGCAAAGGGGGCGCTCAGCAGGTGCCCGCGTCCCGTCCCGTTCCCGTCCCGCCTCGCCGGTTCCCTTTCCCGTCCCGGTCCCTCCCGTCCCCGTCCTCCCCCTTCCCTGAGCTGGGCGGCGGGCGCAGCGCTCGGGGCTGCGCGGAAAGCGCGGGGCGGATCCCGGCCGGAGCGGGGAGCGCAGGAGCGGGCGGGAGGCAGGCTCGAGGCGGGCAGGACTCAGACACCGGACACAGCCACTGCTCAGGGCTTTATTCGCACCCGCGGAGGGGACGGGACCGCGGGGCTGCGGGGACCGGGGAGGATGCGCCCCGGCCGTGCCCCGGCCCCGGTCCCTAGCAGGTGGCGTAAGCGTTGGCTCTCTCGCGGATCTCCTCCAGCAGCCCCCAGACCCGCTGCTCCAGAGCCTGCAGTCGTGTTGCCTTCGCTGCCATTGCCCGCTCGTTGGCCCCGAAGTGCTGCTCCAGCTCTGCGGGATGGGGACCACGGTTAGGGCACAGCCCCCCCTCATGTCTCCATGTTCCACCCCTGGGGAACCAGCCCCAGGGGATAAGGGGAGACATGCATGGGGAGGTGGGCACTGAGACCACTATGGTGGGCAATTCCCCTCCCACACACTCTTCCTCACCTTCCAGCTTCCTCTTGCTGGTGCTCGCCTTGTCCAGGAGGTCCTGTGCCTCAGCTGTCAGCCGTGTCACACGCTGCAAGGCACCGCCAGACACCCCATCCAGCGCGCCCACCCGGGTCTTCAGCACCATGTAGCGCTGCGTCACCTGTGCCAGATCCTGGTGGCACACAGGCATGGTGAGGCTGAGCTCCCATTGTCACCCTGTACTCCGTGGCAGGGCTGGGCCTCACCTGGTTGAGCATCCCGGCAGTGGCAGTGGCACGCTGTGCTCCATCCTTGGCTCGCTGTGCCATGCGGTGGGTGTCCTGGTCCCGCTCCTGCAGTGTGGTGATGCTCTGCCCCAGCTCCTGCAGCCGCCTCTGCGCCCGCGACTCCTTCCCCTCCAGTGCCTGCAGCCTGCGCTCCGCCTGGGCACGCACAGGCACCGGCTGTGACGGCGGTGCCAGCCCTGCCACCCTGGCACACCTCCATCCGTATCCCCCTGGCACCAGCCTTGGTGTACCCATGGCATCAGCCTCGCTCCCCATGGCACTCACCCCATTCCCACAGCAGCACCAACCCCACTGCTCCCAGCATGCCCAAAGCACCATCCCCAGTCCTCAGCCATTCCATGCTGACAGCCCCAGTACCTCCTTGGCTCTGCTCTCAGCCACCTGGATGGCATCCCTGGCGCTCTGCAGGGCACTCCCTGCTGCTGTCGCCTGTGCCTGTGCCACTTCCAACGCCTGCTGTGTCCCCACCAGCTCATCCCTGACACCCTCCGCTCGCTCCCTGCAGTGGCACAAGCAGCTCCAGCTTTTGTCAGCACTGGAGATGGACCCCCACAGTCTGCCACCCAACATATCCCCTACCACTTGCCTGGCATCCTGTCCTTGTTCCAGCAGCCTCTGTGCCACAGCCAGCCCCTGTGCTGTGCTGTTGAGCACCGCGTCCACCCCTTCCAGCTGGCTGATGCTCTCCCGCATCTCTTGGAGCAGCTCCTGGATCCGCCTGGGGCTGCTGGGCAGGGAGATGTTCAACACTTGCTGGGCCACCAGCTCAATGCTGCCTGGGTCGGCTCCCTCCTCTGTGGGGACACAGGGATAGGGTGGGTTCAGGGTGGCGCGCTGAGCCCCACTGTGTCCATGAGCCTACCCAGTGCTGGTGCTACCTGCCAGGAAGGCCTTGATTCGGCGGATGAAGTCCCTCAGCTGGGCTGTCGCCTTCTCTGCCTGGCTGCGGGCAGCCTGTGAGCGCCCCAGGGCCTCCTCTGCCTGGCTCCGTGCACCCCGTGCCAGCTCCTGCACCTCCTGCATCTGTGGGGCATGGGGTGGGCATGGGCAGGGTGAGCAGGGGTATGGGGGGATATGCACAGGACAAGATGGGGGCATGCAAGGGGGTGTAATGGGGTGCACAAAGGGGGCACAAGGAGGCATGGGAGTGCAGCAGTGGGCCAAGGGGGCATACAAGTGGCATAAGAGGTATCTCCAAAGGGGCATAACATGGATGTTTTACAAAGACATTTAGTGACAGGACAAGGGGGGATGGCTTTAAACTGACAGAGGGGAAATTGAGATTAGATAAGGGAAAAATTCTTCACTAAAAGGGTGCTGAGGCACTGGCACAGGATGCCCAGAGAAGCTGTGGCTGCCCCATCCCTGGCAGTGTTCAAGGCCAGGTTGGACACAGGGGCTTGGAGCAAGCTGCTCTAGTGGAAGGGGTCCCTGCCCGTGGCAGGGGTTGGGGCTGGAGGAGCTTTAAGGTCCCTTCCAACACAAACCAGTTTGGAACTGTCCATGTCTATGACACGCCTCGAGACATGAACAAGCAGGATGCACAAGGGAACATGCAAAGTGTCATAGAAAGGACAGAAGCAGAATATGCAAAGGGAACACAAACGGAGCCCCAAAAAGTGCCATGGAGCCACCAGCCCTACCTTCTGTGCCACAACACCCAGCTGCCCCAGTGCCACCTCCAGCTGCTGCGATGCATTACGGGCACTGCTCAGGGCTCGAGCCGAGACAGGCAGTGCCCCCATGCACGCTGTGCCACCGCAGTGCCGCATCCCCACATCATCCTGGCACAAGGCTCCTCCGCAAGGCGCTTGCTCGCAGCTCCGGTCCCCAGGTGCCCCACAAATCTATGGTGATACCAACGGTGGAGATGACAATGTGGGGAGATCCCTGTGCCACCCAGCATGGGGATCTCCCCCATTCACCTATTTATGCCCTCACTGGTCCCACTCTCACCTTCTCATTGATCCTGGCAATGCTGAGCCCCATCACCCGTTTCTGTGCCTCTCGCAGGGATTTGCGTGCAGCAGCGGTGCCCCGACGGAACGCATCTCCCCTCTGTCGCAGTGCCCGCTCTGCTGCCCGCCGCGTGGCCTGCGCCCCGGCCACCTCACCAGCAGTGCCATTGGCCACCGCCTCTGCCAGCCGCGAGCCCTCTGCCGACGCCAGGATGCTGCGGTAGGACTCTGCAGGTGCCGGGATCAGGGTTCGGCTGGGTGGGTACCACCAAACCCCCCCAGTCCCCACCGGATGCTCCTACCACTGAATCCAGCTGCCGACACGGTGCTGAGGAGGGTTTGGAGGTGGGAAGCGGTTTGGTTGAGACCCCCCAGCTCGTGGCTCAGCGCAGCTATCCGGTCGTGGTGCTGCACATCTGCCTGAGCCAGCTGATCCAGATGTTGCTCCAGCTCTTGGAGCTGCTTCCAGAAGTCATCCAGCTCCGTCCTTTGAGGGGGCAGAGAGGTGTTAAGCCTTTTGGGTGACCACATTGGGGTCCCTTTACCATAGCCTATTGCACACACTTGCCTGGTGCCATCCAGCCGCCCCGGCAGTGTGTCGAGGAGGGGTCCCCCAGCACTGTCCCCCTCACCCAGCAGCTGCTCCACGCGCCCCAGTGCCTCCTGCAGCTCCCGCAGGCGGCGGGGGCTGAGCGGGGACAGGGACCCCCCATCCCGCAGCGCCTGTGCCTGCTCCCCGAGGCGCTGCAGCCTGTCCCGCAGGAGGCCCAGGGCCGGGTCCCACTGCCCGAAGCAGGGGTGGCAGGGCGAGCAGCGTGGGAACGCCTCCTGGAAGCCGCGCTGGCACCGGTCACAGCGCTGCCCACTGAAGCCCGGCCGGCACCGGCACTGCCCGCTGGCCTGCTCGCACTGCGGGCTCTCGGCGCCCAGCGGCTCGCAGTCACAGGCTGTGGACAAAGGCAGTGGTGTGTCCTGGTCACTCCAGGAGCTGCTGTGTCCCCCCAGTGATACCAGCATCCCAATATAATGCCCTGTGTCTTCAGAGTCCCACCATGTCCCCAGGGTCTCCTGTGTCCCAAGAGCCCCACTACGTACTCAGGATCCCCTGAGTCCTCCATGTCCCCAGGGTCCCACCATGTCCCCAGCATTCCCTTACAGCTCCAGGGTCCCCATGTCCCCAGAATCCCACCATATCCCCAGGGTCTACCCTGCCCCCAGCATTCCATTGTGTCTCCAAGTTGCCCATGTCCCCAGGGTCCCACCATGGCCCCAGTGCCACCCCTAGAGTCCCACCAAGCACCCAGCATGTTCCCACACCCCACGTGCCCCAGTCACCTCGGCATTCTTGCTCGGGGTCTCCCCAGTGATGCTCCTGGCACTGGGAGCAGACGCGGCCCCCAAAGCCGGGCTGGCACTGGCACTGCCCTGTTACCTGCAGTGAGTGGTGTGCTCAGCCGGGCAGCTCGCCGGGCACCAGGAGGGCAGTGCGGCCGTGCAGGGTGCCGGAGGTCTCACCACATTACAGGCAGGGTGCAGGGAGTGCGTGGGGTGGCATCCGCAGGGCTCACATCCCCCTGGCGCCCCCAGGCTCCAGAAGTGGGGTGCGCAGCGGTCACAGCTCTTGCCCACCACGTTGGGCCGGCAGGCACAGGCACCGGTGCTGCGGTCGCAGGCGCAGGAGCCAGTGGTGCAGTGGGAGGCCAGGGTTCCCTTTGGGTCACAGCTGCAGCCTGCAGGCGATGGGCAGCTACATGGGGCTCAGCCTGTACCCCCAACCCAGGTGATGACCCCCACACCTGGCCCTGAACCCATGCACAGCCCCAACACCCCCAATCCTAACACCCCCCAACCCTGACTCCTATCCCATGCCAAATCCACCCAACAGCCCCAAGTGATGGAGTGACATCCCTGGAGGTGTTTAAAAGATGTAGAGATGTGGCACTGAGAAACATGGTTTAGTGGTACATTTGGCAATGCTGGGTTAATGGTTGGATGATCTTACAGGTCTTTTCCAACCTAAACAACTCTATGCAATTATGGGTTGCTTAAATGGTGTTTATCTTCCTAAACCTCACCAGCCCCAAAGCCTCAGACACTCACAAAACCTTCCCAGGCCAGCCCCCTTGCACAACTCCAATCCCCCCCCTCCCAATGCAGCCCCAAACCTCATCCCAAGCCCCTGCATCTCCCCAGCCTCCCCTCCATCCCCAAAGCCAGCACAGCTCACGTCGGCAGCTACGCTGCAGGGCATTGCCAAAGTATCCAGGCTGGCAGAGGGTGCAGTGGGGCCCAGTGGTGTGGTACAGGCAGCGCAGGCAGTGCCCAGTGTGGGGGTCACAGGCGCCCGGGTCGCTGGCGTCGATGTTGTTGTTGCACTGGCAGGGCCGGCACACACCTCCCTCTGTCTCCGGTGCTCCGAAGTATCCTGGGGAGCAGCGGTCGCAGCGGGGCCCTGTAGGAATGGGTGGATGAATGGATGGATGGGTGGATGGATGGATGGATGGATGGATGGATGGATGGATGGATGGATGGATGGGTGGGTGGGTGGGTGGATGGATGGATGGATGGATGGATGGATGGGTGCGTGGATGGGTGGATGGATGGATGGATGGATGGATGGATGGATGGATGGATGGATGGGTGGATGGGTGGAGACTGTAGGTGCTGGGGTCCTGCAGCCCCTGTGCTGGAGGGGGTCCTGCTCTGCCCCTCACCCGTGTATCCAGGTGCGCAGAGGCAGACGATGTGGTGGTTCTCCTGGTCAGCGTGGCAGGCACTCCCATGGTAGTGCCGTGTACCAGGGTAGCCAGGGCAGGGGCAGGGCCGGCACTGCTGCCCTGAGCCCAGCACCGGGTCCCCATAGTAACCATCCTGGCACCTGCAAGGATGAGGGGTAACCAGGGGTCCATCGCATCCATCATATCCCATCCCATCTCATTCATGCCATGCCATGCCATTCCATGCCATCATATTCCATCTCATCCCATCCATCCCATCATATCCCATCATACCATCCCACCATATCCCATCTTATCCCATCCAACCATCCCATCCCATGTCCCATACCATCATATCCCATCCTATCCCACCCCATCCCATCCATCCCATCATATCCCATACCATCATATTCCATTGTATCGCACCCCATCATATCCATCCCATCCTCACTCATCTCATCCATCCTATCCATCATATCCCATAGCAACATATCCCATCCTATTCCACCCAATTGTACCTATCCCATCCCACACCCCACACCACGCTGTTCCCTGCGCTCACCTCTCGCAGTGCCTGCCGGCGGTGTGGTCGCGGCAGCGCAGGCAGCTGCCCGTGCGCGGGTTGCACTCCTCTGCATGCCCGTTGCACTGGCAGGGCCGGCAGGACGGGAAGCCCCAGTGGCCGGGCTGGCACTGGTCACAGCGCCGGCCCACGGCTCCAGGCTGGCACCGGCACTGCCCGCTCACCGCATCACACAGCTGGGACACCGAGCCCTCTGCGGAGCAGGCGCAGGCTGCAGGACAGCAGGGATGGGTCAGCTCATGGTGCAGGGACACAGGGAGGGACAGACAGCAGATCAGCACCCATTGCATGCCCAACCCATAGGCTACATCATAGGAGGGCTTGTGGGTACACACGGGTGGCAGATGGATAGGTGGACGGACATCAGAGTCAGTGCAGGATGGACGGATGGGTGAACGGATGGGCAGAAGGGGAACTGGGACCCAACCCTTAGGCTGCAGGACAGCAGGGCTGAGATCAACACATGCATGGACGGATGGACAGACAGACAAGTGACCATGCAGACAGGGCTCTGCAGCTGCACAGACAGAGGGGGTTGAGGGCCGCCTGCCAGCACAGACCCCCCCCTACTCACGGCTGCAGCCCAGCGGCCCGAAGCCGTAGCTGCCCGGGGCGCAGCGGTCGCAGCGCCGGCCGAGGACGTGGGGCTTGCACTGGCACTGCCCGCCCTGGGGCTGGCACTCGCTGCTGCGGGAGCCCTGCGGGTCGCACTGGCAGGCTGCAGGCAATGGGACAACGTGAGGCTGGGGCTGCCCTGCCCCTGCGAGCCCCCTCAGCTCTACCCGCCCCATTGCTCCCGCACTCACGCAGGGCCCCGCCGTGCATCAGGGCAGACACGCTGCAGAGCAGGCGGGCGCCGGCCTGCGCCAAGGCGGGCGGCGGGGCCATGCGGAACGCCTCCAGGCACCGGTACCGCTCCAGCTCCTCCAGCCGCGGAGCCGCCTCGGCCCCGTGCAGCCCCGGCAGCTCCAACACCCGCGGCAGCAGCACGAGCTGCGCCGGGCAGCGGGAGGGGACAGGGGGTGGGATGGGGGCATGGGGACATCCCGATGTGGGACTCTGCCCCTGCTCCTAAGGGGGCTCGACCGCCCCAGCCCCATCAACAGCACCAGCTCCATTGATGCTCCCACACAAATTGACGTCCCCACATTCTTCCTCATCACCATTGACATCCCCAAGGCCAACCCCAACTCCATCAATGTCCCCTGCCCCATTGATATCCCATCCCCATCCCAGTCCCACCTCCATCCCCTTCTCCATTCCATTGCCATCCCCATACTCACTCCCAACTCCATCTCCTTCTCCATCCTGTCCTCATCCCCATTCCCATCCTCTCCCCATCTGTATTCCCATTCCCCTTTCCCACCCTATCCCCTTCTACATTCTATTCCGTTCCATCCCCGTCCCCTTCTCCATCCCATCCCCATTCCTATTACATTCCATCCCCATCCCATCCCCATTTTTATCCCCATTCCCATCCCATCCTCGTTCCCCAGTTCCATCCCATCCCCATTCCCACTCCATCTCCACCTCATGACCCCAGACAAGTGTCACGGCCCACTCCAGCCCATCATCCCCATCCCTGCCCCTCACTCCCCACTCCAAGCCCCAGGCAGGGGCACAGCGGGACCTCCCCTCACCGAGTCAATGAGGATGAAGGCACTGGGATGGCGCTGGGTGACACCGGCCCGTTGAAGCCTCATGGTCACCTCATAGGGGGTGCTGGGCTCGAAGCAGAAGGGTCGAGACAGCAGCACGTACCTGTGCAGAGGCAGGTGTTGGGGCATGGGCACAACAGGACCATGGAGATGATCAGGGGATAGCACCTTCCTTGTCCCTTTCCCCATCCCTCCTCACCTGTGTGGTACGATGTGTCTCATCCTCATCCTCAGTTCTGGGATGTGACAGCACTGTCCTTGTCCCCATCCCATCAATCCCATCCTATCCCATCCCGTCCTCACCTCTGGCTGTGGGGCAGGCTCTCGCGGTACATCTGCTCGGAGGGCAGCAGGTTCCCACAGCGAGGGCTGGTGGGCAGTACTTGGGAGGTGACACTGACCACGGCCTCCCAGTCCTCAGCTGACTGCAACAACAGGCGAGGCACCATCAGAGCCGCGCCGCACCATGCTGCACCATACACACCGTGCCCATGGCTGCACTCACCTCTGGCTCGTAGCGCACCAGCAGCTCGTAGTCCATGGGGTAGGGCACGTTGTCCACGCGGAACGTCAGCCCAGCTCCATCCCGCACCCGGGCGAACCCGGAGCCCGTCCAGGTCACCATGTGTGTGGTGCCGTCCCGCACCACCTCCTCCACATCCGGCTGCAGAGCATGGGCACAGCTCAGCCCCGCTGCCACCGGCCACCCTCCCATGCCCCACAGCCCATGGGGCTCACCCTGGGGGGCTGCTGCCGGCCGCGGCGTGGGGCGCTGCGGGGATGGGGGGCACGGGGGGGGCTGCGTTGGTGCCGTGGGTGGCCCCTCCGTGCCCCCAGCTCCCCAGGGTCGTACTCCAGGCAGTCCTGGGGCGCCTCCGCACGGATGGCCCCCTGTGGGGACAGGGTTGGAATGGGTGGATGTGGATGGGGACAGCCATGCATGGAGCACGCAGGCACAGCCCAGGTTGGGGATACAGGAAACCCCCCCACCAGGATACTCACCGGGAGCTGGCCATGGCTATGGCTGTGCCCAATGGCCTGCTCGGCCTCATAGGTGTAGTAGTCCAGGGGGGCGCAGAAGAAGCCGGGCTGTACCTGATCGCACTGACGCCCCATAAGGTGGGGACGGCAGGGACAGGCCCCGTCCTCCGTGGAGCACCTGGGAGTGACCGTCCTGTCTCTCTCTGTCCTTTTATCTAGCTCGGTCCTCACCCATCCCTGCTTCCATCCCTCTCACCATCCCTCCATCTCTGGGAAGGGGTATCCCTTCTTCCACCCCAACATCTCAGTCCCCTCTATCTCCACATCCCTATTCCCATCCATCCAACGATGTCCCCATCCCTCCCTCACCCCATACTTGACCCTCATCCCTGCCCCATCCCTGTGCCCCACCGGTTGCTGTAGGCTCCCCCGAAGTCACAGTCGCAGGGCCGGCAGCCCCCCACGTCATAGCTCAGGCCCCAGAACTCAGGCTGCAGTAGAGGGGGGATAATGTGGGGGAGGCTGTGAGGCAAGCTATGGGGCAGGCTATGGGGCAGCTATGGGACAGGCTGTGGCACTCACCACGCACTGGCTGCAGGAGCGCCCGGCCACAAAGCGTTTGCAGTAGCAGTCCCCACTGATGGGGTCGCAGGGGGAGCTGCCGGCCACCGTGCCCCGTGGGTCACACCTGCACGCTGCCCCCCACATGTATGCACCCACATGTGAGGGGCTGCCACGCAGGACAGCAGCCCACAGGCTTCATGACCCCCCACCCCCAACCCGCATCCTTCCATCCCTCACCCCTCCATCCCCATATCACTATCCCAATTCCTTCATCCCCATCTCTCCATTCCACGTTCCTCAATTTCCATCCCTTCTTCCCATATCCCTCCACCACCATCCTTCCGTTCCACATCCCTCCATTCCATATCCCTCTACCTGTACTTCTCCATCTTCATCTCTCCATCACCAACCCTCCATCATCCTTTCATCCCCATCTCTCCATCCCACATCCATCAATCTACATCCTTCCATCATCCCTCCTTCAACAGCCCTCCCTCCCATATCCCTGCATCCCACATCCCTCCATTCCACAACCCTCTATCTCCATCCCTCCCCATCTATCCCACATCCCTCCATCCCCATCCCTCAGTCATTGCTCCATCCCACATCCTCCACCCCTCATCCTCCCCTGCCCATCCGTGTCCCCGCTCACGCTGGCATCCCTGGGGGTCTCCATGGCTGAGCCCATAGGCGCCGTGCCGGCAGCGGTCGCAGCGGGGACCGGCCACATTCTCCTTGCAGCGGCACTGCCCCGCGATCATGCCCAGCGCCACGTCTGTGTGCCCATCACAGGCCCCTCCATCCAGCGAGCCCGCTGGGTCACAGTCACAGGCTGCCGGGAAGGAAAGAGGCCACGGGGAGGTGTGGGACCAGGGCTGATGGCACTGGAAGCTGTGGGTCTGTAGTCCCATGGCACTCACGGGCGCAGGCAGTGGGGGCACGGATGTCAGAGCGCGGGTGCCGGTAGTAGAAGGGCTTGCAGAGGTGGCAGCGGCGGCCCATGGTGTTGTGCTGGCAGCCATCGCACACGGCCCCGCTGGTGTTGCCGGTGGCCAGGAAGACGGCCATGTCGAAGTGGCAGCGCTGCGAGTGCTCGTTGCAGTCGCAGCCTGCGGGGATGGTACCATGGCACAGCATGTGGTACCCAAACCCCCACTATGGGGATGCAGCTCCTCATCCCAGCCCCTCAAACCATAGCCTGCAGAACCTCCAGCACCACATCCGATAGGATGCACCCAAAACACCCGAACCCCAGCTACAAAGCATCACACGTGGGACCCTCAGCTCCCAGCCCCGAGCCATGGCCCCCAGGATGCTGAACCCTCCACACACAACATGCAGGACCCCCATTGCCCCAACCCAGCCCATGGGACCCCAAGCCCGTGGGCACTGCACGGTGCCCATGTGTGGCACTCACGGCGGCAGGCGTTGGTGCTGGAGCCCTCGGCCGGGCGCCAGGGCAGGTCATGGTAGAAGTCCTCACAGCGCTCACAGTTCAGTCCTTGTGTGTGGTGCTCGCAGACGCAGCGCCCATGGACCTGTTGGGGTGAGCACCCACCTCAGCATGGCCACTGCATCCCACAGGACACCATACCGGTGCTGTGTGCACCTCACCATGCCGGGTGCTGTGGCCGCCGGGGCACCGGGTGCCGGGGCGCATTGGGCAGCGTGTCCATGGCAGAAGCAGCTCCCACGCAGCACCAGCTCATCCACAGCATAGTAGTACTTGTGCAGCACCTCGCGCCGCGTGTCCAGCAGGTTGTCCCCCAGCGTGTGCAGCTTGGTGAGGTTCATGCGCAGGTTGGTGACGCGCAGCAGGTCTGGGGGATATTGGTGGCACCATCAGCACCCACCCTGGCACCCACCAACACTGGCACCCCCCGGGACACGCACCCTGGATGGCCGGGCTGTAGGGATCCGCCACTGGGATGGAGGGGTCCAGCACCTTGAAGATGACCTGGGAGGAGGAAGGGGAGGGTGATCCCAGATCCCATAGACACCCAGCACCCCACAGACACCCTCTGTAGCCACACACCTCCCCATGGCTGGAGGGCTCAATCTCGGAATAGCGCTGGTCACACAGCACCTCATCCACCAGCCCCGAGGGCTGATCAGGAATGCCGGGGAAGAGCTTGGAGCAGTTGTAGGCAAAGTATCGATAGACCTTCCAGCTGCGCCCAAAGTCGGCCGAGCGCTCCACCAGCATGGCCGCGGGCCGGAATGTCTGCAGGATACGCAACATGGACCTGGGTCCATCCCATCCCATCCCAACCCATCCCATCAGAAGGTACTGATACCCACCTTAAACTTCATGATGAGGTGTGTGAAGTGAAACTCGGCCTCCAGGTCCAGCTGGATGCTGACATGCTCTACGCCTGGGGATGCCACAGAGGTGAATGGCCAAGGGTCCCATGGCCATGCAGCCCCAAGGCACAGCACACAGCTGCAGCCCTGAGGCCGCTGCCGCCGCGGACTCACCGTTCTCAGACTGCCACCACGTCCGCCCAGCGCTGGGACCGCTCAGGAAGATGACGTTCTCGATGCGGTGGCTCTGGGGCAGGGATGGGTCCCGCGAGTCGCAGGTGAAGCATTTCTCTGAGTCCTGCACCGGGAGCAGCACAGTTGGAAGGGTTCAGTGGCCTCGGCTGTGCCAAAGCCATGCTGGAGCCATGCAGGGCCTCACCTGGAGGTGGCTGATGATGCAGTACTCCTGCGGTCCCTGCATCCCACATGTGGAGGTGGCGCTCAGGCGAGGGGCTCTTCCCACCAGCAGGTTCCCGGTGGCTGGGTAGCAGCTCCCACGGGCACATCCATAGCTGGGGTCAGGCTCCTGCTGACCCCACACCAGTGCTACCCCCACTGCAGAGAGCACAAGGACGTGGGGTACCTCCTGTCTGGGCACCCTGATGCTACCCAGCACCCTCCCACCCCAGGCTGCCCCATGCAGGCCTGGCCCCGCATCCCAACCCACTGATGCAGCACAAAGCTCCGTGATCCGGAAAGGTGCTGGCAGCAGCGCTGGCGCCTCGTGACCAGGGGATGCTGTGTGGTGCTGGGGGCAGTCAGCAGCCGGGTCAGGCGCTCGCTAATCCCACCAGGGCTCAGATTCCCAATGGGATTTGTGGCCTCCAGGGCCAGGGAGCATTGCCACTGACTCCACTGCCCAGGCTGGGGTCCCTGCACCACCACACCGCAGTACATGGGGTGCTCAGCCATGCTGGGTGCTTACCCAGGAGGAGAACGAGTGCCAAGAGGTCCATGGGCAGCTGCAGGTTCTGCCTGGGGGGAACACAGAGACACTATGGTGGTGTACAGGGTATGGCAATGGGGTATGGCAACTGCTGCCTGGCTTCTCCCAGCTCCAGCATGGAGGTGCACCCCAGGGACAGCACTGGGAAGTGGGATCAGGTGGGGAAGTTGTGTTCCCAAGTCCCCCAGTGTAGCGTGGTGTTATCACCCCCATGGCCGTGCCCCATCCCTCACACAGACCCCGGCACTCGGCCATTCTTGCACCCCCAGACCCCACATGGGCTGTGCCTTGCCCCATCCTGCCCTGCTCGGGGCAGATCCATCCCTCCCAGTGTCACTGTTATCCCTGGGGGGTCCCCAGGGCCAGCCTGGGATGGGCGCCAGGAGCACCGGAGCCGTCCGGGCAGCAGCATCCCCGCCGCTGGCCGGGCTCCCGCTATTGCCTTTAGGCTGGAGCCGCCTTTTGTGCTCCCTCCTCCGCCGGTGCCGCCCGCTCCCAGCCGCTGGATCAAAGCCTGGCTGCCCAAACGCATCTTCCCTGTCCCCATGCGGGAGCCAGCCCGGGGCTGGGGGTCGTGGTGCGGGGGTCCCTAAGCTCCATAAACACACACACACACACCGGTACCTGCTGTCCTGCGGCGTCCGGCGAGGCCAAGGCCAGGGGCAAGGGCTGGGCGGGCAGGGACGAGCGGCGGCGGTGATGGGATGGCGCGGCCGGCGGGCCCCCCTTCCCCGTGTGCACGGTGATTCTTATTCAAATGGGCTGCCCGCTGAAAGGGACGGCGGTCTCCAGGCTACGGGAATGTCACTGCCGATTCCTTCTGCCTGGAGGCCCCCGCTGCCCGCCCGGACAGGCGTCGGCAGCCCCGGCACGCCCCGGGCACCACAGTGGGCCCCAATGCTGAACAATGGGGAGCCTCGTGTGCCAGGGGAGCCGACGGCGCCGCGTTCCCGGGGCTCCCGGCACAGCGCAGCAGGAACGTGCCTGCTGCGGCTCGCATGACGGGACGGGCACCGGGAACTGGCCCATGGAGCTGTGCCAGGGCCCGCGGCACCGTGTGCTCTGTCCCACCTGGGCACGGGCCATGGTGGAAACACCAGCGCAGGTTGGTTGCGGGGTGGAGCCACAACGGAGCTCGCCCGGGCACGGCGCTGCCAACTGGGAATGTCTGTCCCTACGGACCCACTCCCTCCCCATGGGCAAAGTCCGGCACCACCAGCCTCAGGACAGGCGGTGCCGGAGCACGAGGATCCAGCCTGTTCCTCCCATAGGACCCTACCTTGTGAGCCGAGTGCTGGCACCCAGCCTCTGTCCTGAGGCACAGCACAGCCCATGGCACATGGGGCTCCCCACCGGCTCCTACCTGTGCCCATGGGGCCTGTGGTGCCAGGTAAGTGTGTGGTGGCCCGGTTGTGCTGTGCAGGTTGGAGGTGACCAGCTCAGCCCCGCTGGCTCCAGCCAAGCTCGCTGCTGTTCCTGGAGGAGGGCGGCCGGTGCCTGTCTCCTCCTCCGATGCTGTGCCAGGCGAGGGAGGGACCTGCCTGCAGCGAGCCTCAGCCAAGGTGAGGCACAGGCCAGGTACGAGCCGGTGGCACGGCGGTGGCTTGTGCCCTGGCTGGCCAGGAGCCTGCACAGCATCCCTGCAGGGCTGCCATGCCCAGGCACGTGGAGCCTGCTCACCGCTGCCTCCATGGGTACCATGCCTCAAGCCAGGGCCCCACTTACCTCCCGCTGATCAGTGCTCCATGGGATCCTTCAGACCAGGGAGCGTGGCCCTGCACCTCGGCTGGGCTGGACAGAGACTTTGCTGTCACGCAGGGATGGTGCCTTTTCTTAGCCGAGGCCGAAGGAAGGAAGAGGAGCTGCGTGTTCCCCATACCAAGGCCGTGCTCTGGCTGCCCACCAGCCAGCAAGGTCATGGGCAGGCAAAGCAGCAGCTCCCCTGGCTGCTGGCCATGGGGGTGCCAAAGCGGTGCCACCGGGGACACCCCAAAAGCACAGTGGGACAAGGCGAGCTGTGGGAGAGCCCAGGCAGCTCCCTATGGCTGCACTCTCTGCAGGCACTGGGAAACCCCAAGGAAGGGCAGGTCTGGGCCCAGCGAGGTTCCACCACCTCCCGGGCTGTGAGAGCTGGCAGGGGATGAGCTGATAAAGAGCCATTAGCACTGGACATCGTGTCTGTAGCACAGGGATCTTGGCCAAGCAACCCTTATCTGCTCTGAGGAGATCCGAAGTGGCCTGATAAAGGCGGCAGTAACAGGATCTGCAGCCTTGATCTGCAAAGGCTGGAGGCAAAAGCAGGAGGGAGGGATCCTCAGTGGGACCTGAGGGACAACTGAGGTGTCCTGGCCATGCCCAGGCACCTCCTGGCTCCCCTGCAGGCCACTTCCCATGCGGAGCTGCGATCCCAGGGATGAACTTGTGGGAGATGGCGTGCCTGAGGGCAGCTGTGCTGGTCGATGTGCCAGCGGCTCGGCTGCAGCCCCTGTCACCAGCATCCTTGTCACCAGTGCTTCAAAGCTGCTGAGCATCCCCCAGCCCCTGCTCCACAACCCTCAGCAGAGCTCCCGAGCTCCTGGGGCAGTGTCTCAGGCTCAGCCAGCGCCGCTTGGAACGACATCAGTGCTCCCAGCGGGCAGCCGGCGCTTCCCTGCACATCCTGCAGTGCCTGCAGAGCCGCTTTAACCGCTTCCCTTCCCGAGCCCCGGCACCGGCGCCACCGTCCCAGCACTGTTAGTGCCGGGTCAGCGCACCGACGGCTCACACCGGATCCGGATCACCACGGGGGAACAATGGCTCCTCTGTTGAATTCGCCAGTCCCAGCATCCCGGCTGGAGAACGGGATCCAGAGCGAAGTCAGTGGGTGGGCAGGAACTAACCTGGAATGCGGATTTATGCCAGTTTAAACCAGTTCAGCACTAGGAGCACTTCCCATCCCAAGCCAGGCATTCCTTAGCGGGGCTTGGGTACCCCAAACCACTCGGGGGGGGGGGGGGGGAGCTGGGGAGAAGAGGCAGTGGTGGCCTGCAGCTGAGCACACCCCACATGGGAGATGGCATTCCATGGAGCTCCCGGGAGCCCAAAGAAAAGCTGGACACGCTGGGTGGTTGTGAGCACCATTTTACTGAGGGGCTGGCCACCTGCTGGGACTTCAGATCAAAAAGTTCACTTCATTTAAGAGAAAAGAAAAAGACAGTCTGTTTCTTGTCCCATTCCCTCCAAAGAGTGGAATAATACTGTCTTCTCACTAAACAATGCCATTCCAAACTATACAACACGGAGCATGGAGCAGCCCCGCCTCAGACTCAACATTAAATAGTACTATAGCTTCGGCAACATTCTACACCAACAACTGAGAACAGGGAAAAGTTCACTCGAGAACAAGATGGTCACTTGTTGGAGATCCACCACGTAACAGTCTGCTCCTCGCCCTCCCACAGGCTGCAGGTGCTGCTCCATGGGTGTCACCCAGGATCCCGGAATGCCAGAGGATGCCTCAAGCGTGCCGGCGGCACCGGTCCCGGCCTGAGCAGGTCGTGAAGGAGGCTCTCTTAGAGATGAAGGTTGGTAGAAATGAGGGTGAGGGATCTGGCAGTGCCCATCCAGAGCGGCTGCTGTGGCTCTGCTTGGGAAGTGCTGCTCCTTGGGAATGCTGCACCGGGAACCAGGAGGAGGCAACGGCATCACACGCTGCGAGTCCCCACCACAACACCAATGCTCATCCCATCCCATCCCGGGCAGGATGGTGGAGCAGGGGAGGTATTTTGCAGCACCTTCTCTTCACAACAGCACCACGTGCCTGCGCAGGTGTGTGGCAATCACCGGACTCTCACAGGGAGGGAAAGGGTGAATTAAGACAAGGAGAGCCCCAGCTGATAATAAGGCTTTTAAGGGACTCCCCAGGGCAAGGTTTAATCGTCCCCCCCCAGGGGAAGGTGTTTGGGATGCTCACCAGAGAAGTGCTACCCCCAAGAGGGTGTCCCAGGGGTACAGGTCTGCATCTCTCACCTTCCCCACGGCCACGCCAGTAGGGCCAGTCTATGTGACCGATGAAGGACAGAAGCCAAGGGTTGGCAGGGGGCACCTGCCTCAAAAGGGCACCCCCAGAGCCTGTGTAGTGCTGCCAGGCAGGGCAGGACAGGCTCCTGCAGCAGGTGGAATGGAGGCAGGGCTATGGCACACTGCAGACCTGGCTCCTGTTTGCACATCTCCTGCTGTGGCAGAAGCAGAAGCTGCTGGTGTCTTTGGTTTTCCTGGATCCCAGCTTCTCGCTTTGCCACATCTCCCTGGTGTTCCTAAGCGAAGAGAGGGGTCTGGCCTTAGCACCATGGCTTTGGAGGCAGCAGCTGGCCGAGCTGCCAGTGTTACACATCCAGACACCCCTTCACTCAACACCCCACTCATCACCCCTTCACTCAGCACCCTGCCCTAGTGGTGGCTGTCCTAGCTTCTGGGGGCAGATCTCTGCTCCGCCAGCCGGCGAGGCCCCTGGCACCTTCCCAACAGCAGGAATGGGCTGCAAGAAGAGGGAAACACGATCTTGCTGCTCTCTATGAGTCTGAACACGAGGGCCTGGGAGCAGCCTGCCCTGCTGCCCTCTCCAGGGGTGGTGCCAGCCTATCCAGTGCCCAAAGCCAAGCGCTGCACCACTGTCAGGAAGGTGTGAGGTGCCCCAGAAGAGCTGAGGCCACCTCAGCTCATGGTAGACTGTCCCCATCTGACCATGGCAGCAAACGGGACAGAGGTGCTTTCAGGAGTGAAGCAGGAACTGTGGATTTCACACCAACCTGCCTGAGCAGGAAGTGCTCCACATAGCCCAGCACAACCCTATCAACCATGCTTAAAACAAGGACCCTCCCATCCTCAGCTCCTGGGAAGCTGAGACGCAAACCTGGTCTGCATCCCCACACATCCCTTGTGCTATGGCCAAAGGCCCAGCTCCCACATAGTGCAGGGAACTTGGACCCAAAGTGATAGAACAACTGGAGTGGCTGCACCTCCACCATGCTGGCAAGGTCTGGCCATGAACACAGCACAAGTCAACTGGAAGGGCCCAAGTTCTGTCCACAAGCCCAAAACCCAAAGCCCTCCAGACACAGCAGGAGCTGGGAGTCTTCCACCAGCTCCACTGGTGGAGAAGAGCTGCTGGTGTATGAGGGGAGCACAACTCCTCCCCCTCGCACTGGAACACCACTATTGGGCTACAAACCAGGAATAACAAAATAATCCCTTCTTATTTTGCAGAAAAGTGTTTAAGGAATTCTGTACAAGCTGGCTCTGGAGGTGGGGGGAACCAACCAGTCTGGAAGCAGCAGCAGCACCACACTGCCTGGTTCGCAGGGAAGAGGCCAAGGAGAAACTTCTCCAAGTCCAAGCGGTGGCAGATGGTGAAACATGATCAGAGTGGACATGAGCTTCAGAACGTTGCTACCAATTAACAATGTGATTTCAAGTGGTATCCGATGTCAGCTTCCCCTCCAGCGCCTGCGGGGCGAGCTGCTCTCCCCACGGACATCTGAGGCACGCAGGAAGCTTCAGGACCTTGTCTGGTCGAGGCAAAGCACAAACTCGTGGTTCTTGGCAGCTGAATAAAAGGAAAAACGATTCCCAAAACCATCAGTTGGATGAGCAGCCCTTTGACCGCTGGCTGAAGCGCTTCTGGAAATGACGGTGGCACAAATCCATGCAGTGAGAGCATTCCTAAGAGAGCCTCCAAAGCTCTCTCAGCTGTCACAGTGCCCAGGAACAGCACAGGCCAGGTTAGGCACTTGGATGAATTCAAAGTGACTAATACAGAAACAGGTCTGAACAATCTGCACGCAGCAGAGACCACAGCACCCCAGGCAACGCGTTTCTGTGTGTCCTGCCCTGCTGCACAGGGTCCTGGAAGGCAAGTCTGCTGTCACAGGGTAACATGGGGTGGAAGGGATTGCTCTGGCTAGACCAGTCTTAAGCAGCCTCTTGCACATCGGTGTTGAAGGTCCAGGACTCCAGGAGCACCCAGACCATGCCATGAGATGAAGGACCCTGGAGCCAACCACTGACAGGCTGCAGGCACACATCTGCCTGCACTGGACAGGCAGCAGTTGATGTCATTGGTGCCAGGGGCTGTAATGCCCCTCTGAATAACAAGCTGCAATCAGAGAATCACAGACTGGTTTGGGTTGGGAGGAACTTAAAGCTCATCCAGTCCCAACCCCTGCCATGGGACACCTTCCATTAGAAGAATCTAGAATCTAGACTGGAATCCTTCCAGCCAAGTTCCCAAGTTACCTGCAAGGGGAAAGAGGAGGCATGAGGAGGACAGAGCATCGAGCTCTAGTGCTGCCCAGTAGCACAGGGCCCTGCAGCCTGTTAAAAGATATGCAGAAGGGCTGACAGAGACTGGACTGGTGATGGTCAAGTCCTGGAGCACTGCATGGTCTGCTCGCTTCCCTTACAGCAGCCTCAGTGGCACAGAAGTGTTTCTAATACTCATCTCTCCCTGTGGAGCAGAACACCTCTTGCTGCTGGCCTGGGAAGGACATTACCACCAAGCATTTGCAGAACTGAGCTCAGTGCTGGGAAAGGCATGGAAGCACTAAGGCAAGATGTTCTGTTGGATGTGTTAAGCAACAGCACAAGCCAAGTCCCTGCCTGGCAAAAGCCCAAGCTGTGAAAGGCAAGAGGTGATGGAGGAGAGTGGGGAGGCAGGCAGCAGTGCAGCTAGGGGAAGAGACAGCACGAAGAGGAGGGATATGGCCTCATGTGCTCAGCTTCAGGCTCAGGCTGGAGGAAAAGCTCAACCCGAATCAGCCTAGTTGATGCAGGATTGTTTTCCCACCAGAGGTTGGGCTGGGATGTCTGTGCTGCATGAAGAGGCTCCAGAGGCAGCTCTCGGTGTCCTTATAAGGGGCTGGGAAGAGGGAAGCTGCTGAGCAGCCTGTGAGGCAGCGATACCACAGGCAGGAGCTCAGAGCACTCCTCAGGAACAGCCAAAAAGAGAAACCGCAGTGCAAGACTTCCAGACCTGGCGTTTGGGAGCGTGGGAATAAGAAAG